GGGGGAAAAATGAATTCCTTATTTATTTATTTATTTATTTATTATTTATTTATATTATTTTCCTCAACCGAGGATATGCTTTTTATTGGCTTTAGAAAAAGAGCAACAGAGAGACAGCAAAGTGAGAGAAAAAAAAAAAATCGGTTGCCTCCCATATTCCCCCTGACCCAGGACCACATCTGCAACTCAGTTATGTGCCCTGACTGGGAAACAAACACACCACCTTTCGGTGTATGGGATGATGCTCCAACCAACTAAGCCACACAGGTCAAGGCTAGTGGATTCCTTTTAGAATAGCATCTTATATAGTGAAATTGTGATGACTATTTTATATCTCTAGTGTTCACGCCCATTTAGGAAAATAGTCTTTTAAAACATGCTTCCATTTCTCTCTCCTCCTCCACCATATACATATACTGTATAGTTTACAATATATTTTTATTGATTTCAGAGAAGAAGAGAGAGAGGAAGAGAGAAAGATCAATGATGAGAGAAAATCATTGATCATCTGCCTCCTGCACGCCCCTCGCTGGGGATCGAGCCCGCAACCTGGGCATGTGCCCTAACCGGGAATCAGATTGTGACCTCCTGGTTCATAGGTCAATACTCAACCACTGAACCATGTCAGCTGGGTTCCACCCTATATTTTGTTCTTTGAGGAAAATTTTTTTCTCTTGAGTCTTAAAAAATGGTGGAATTATGTGACGGGTTTGATACTTTTTCTTACAGGTTTGTGAATTGAGTACAATATATTATCACTATGTGACATTTAAAAGTAGAGTGGTGAGATATCAAGTTATACTATAAAGCCATCATAATCAAAACAGCCCAGTACTGTCACAAGAATAGGCATATAGATCGATGGAATAGAACAGAGACCCCAGAAATCAATCCAAGCCATTATGTTCAAGTAATATTTGACAAAGGAGGCAAGAGCATACAATGGAGGCAAAACAACATCTTCAATAAATGGTGTTGGGAAAATTGGACAGATACTTGCAAAAAAAATGAAACTAGACCACCAACTTAAAAGTAGAGTGGTTAAGTAGGCTAGAAAGAGCTGGCTAGATCCTGCTTTTGCTATTTGGACCTTAATTTGGGGGTTTGTCTTAATTACAGGTGGATTTTATCCAAAGCCAAGAAAGATGACACTGATGATGAAATTGCCAAATATGATGGTGAGAGTTCATTTGACTTGAATATAATAGCAGATTGAGGTTTGAAGCATTTCCATGATTCTCTTATGAATAGTTTAAGCTGGGGGGTGGGAACGGCTGGGGAGAGGTCAATGAGTGAAAAAGGAGACATATGTAATACTTTAAACAATAAGGAATTTAAATTTAAAAAAACTAGTTTAAAAGGAGTATGTACACATTTTAAGATTTTTTTTTCCTTACAAGTTTTGCTGTATTTATGTGTTCCGTTATATTTTAAAGGGTTAGACCTGTTTGTTTTACACCATAAAATGGGAAGGTAATTTAGCATCTATGGTGTTGTGTGTTGGAAATGGCAGGTCTTATTTAAGCATATGCTACAGGTTTTAAAAAAACATACCCTAATATGTGTGTGTAATATTAATAGGCCAGCTTTCATAGGTAAATGGAATATGTTAAAATATGTCAGTATGATAGACTTGCACAACTTTGAGTTTTGTTTGCTACCATTTAAAGGACCTTCAAAGGTACAGTTAAGGAGTGGAACTTTTCTGTGTGTTTTGTAGGAAAATGGGAGGTAGATGAAATGAAGGAAACAAAACTTCCAGGGGACAAAGGACTTGTATTGATGTCTCGGGCCAAGCATCATGCTATCTCTGCTAAACTGAACAAGCCCTTCCTGTTTGATACCAAGCCTCTCATTGTTCAGTAAGTGAGACACTTCTTTGATAGAAGCTTTCTAGGATGGGTGATATCAGAAGACATAATTTTATAAAACTATTACTCTACATTAAAAAATTATGAGAATTATTATATGTTATAATAGGGATTTTTTAGTGCATTTAGGCATCTTGTAATGTAATGTTATTTTCCTGCCCAATAAATTATTTGGAAAGAAACTGGCTATTCTTTCTCCTAATAGCAAATGAACTTCTGGAATTTGCAAAAAGTATTTACAGGGAATCTGCATTAAGCTTTTATTTTATTTTACTTATTAATTTTGGAGGATTGGGAAGCCATTCAAAGCAATAGAAGATGGAATCTTTCCGAAAGACAAACATGACCTATGATTAAACATGAGACCAAGATGGGGAAAAGGGTAATGAAGAAATTTGATATTTCAAAATGCCATATGATTTTCTGCTTTTCTCTCTGAAATTAGGTATGAGGTTAATTTCCAAAATGGAATAGAATGTGGTGGTGCCTATGTGAAGCTGCTTTCCAAAACCCCGGAACTAAACTTGGTAAGTACTTCCTATTTATATAGCCACCCATAATTATCTTTCAGGATTTGAAATGTGAAAACTGTTCTTATTCCTGATTTCTGTTCTGTGTAATTTTTGTTTTAGCAAACGTATTTCTTTGTTTTATGAAAGAAGCAGTAACTATCTAGATATGTACATTGCTTTGTTTTTTAAGCACTTCCATAATGTTCTCATGTAAAATTTCCTAATAATTTCTGTTATCCCTTTTCACTGGTATCTATATGAACCTCATGAACCAATCGGCTTTTCTTTTTTTAAAATTTTTCTAATACAGTTGATATTCAATATTATTTTATTAGTTTCAGGTGTACAGCATAGTGGTTAGACATTTATGATTTACGAGGTGAATTCCCCACACCCCCAATAAGTCTAGTACCCACCTGACACCATATGTAGTTATTACAGTATTATTGCCTATATTCCCTATGCTGTACTTTACATGCCTATGGCTGTTTTTGCAACTACCAATTTTACTTAATCCCTTTACCTTTTTCACCCAGCTCCTCAAACCCCCTCCCATCTGGTAACCATTAGTTTGTTTCTGTATGAATGATTCGGTTTCTGTATTTTTCATTTTTGTTCTTTAGGTTCCACCTGTAAGTGACATTATGATATCGTCTTTATCTGACTTAATGTCACTTGGCTTCTAGGTCTATCCATGCTGTCACAGAATCAGCTTTTCTTTTAATGTGAAACTAATTTATTTGGGATTTTATAAAAAGAAATATCATATTTTTGAAAAGTTGCTTTGAATACTTTGATTTACTTAAAATCCATTTTTGTTTCTGAAGGACCAGTTCCATGACAAGACTCCTTATACAATCATGTTTGGTCCAGATAAATGTGGAGAGGACTATAAATTGCACTTCATCTTCCGCCACAAAAACCCCAAAACGGGCGAATATGAAGAAAAGCACGCTAAGAGACCAGATGCAGATCTGAAGACCTATTTTACTGATAAGAAAACACATCTTTATACATTAAGTAAGAAAAACCAATAATTTGGGGGTTTATGGCACTACAGATTTATTATTCATTTAATGTAAAGATAGTACATCTAGAGAAGACCTAAGCCTGCAAGTAAGAGTCTCTACTGACTTAATATCTTGGTAGTGAAATGAACTTAGTGTCTCAGCACAAAAAGGAGCTTCTCGCCCAGCCGGCATGGCTCAGGAGTTGAGCATCAACCTTTGAACCAGGAGGTCATCCCCGAGTTGCAGGCTCGATCCACAATAAAGGGTGTACAGGAGGCAGTCGATCAATTAGTCAACATTGGTGTTTCTATCTCTCCCTCTCCCTCCCTCTCGGAAATCAATTTAAAAAAATATTAAAAGCAAACAAGACAAAAAAGGAAGAAAAAAAATAAGCTTCTCTTCCATAATTTGAATTGAGAATTAGGGTTTAAGGGATTTTGAAAATAAGCTTTTATGTTCCAGAAGGAGCTTCTTTGCTGATGCCCTCATTTCCACCTTTTGTATATTTTCTTGTTGATAAATTGTTAAGCAATAAAACATATAATAGAAATATGTGCATGGTGTTTTCAAATTATCTTTTAGTTGACGTTTGCTTGGGTACTCCCAACACCTGAACAATTGAATTTAATCATTTGGACATTAGAATAGAATTTTTATTTTAATGAAGCTTTTCCCCTAGTTTGAAATTACATATACACATGCCTCTTTTCTTAAAGAATACAATAACCTTTTTTCTTCATAACAAAAGTAATATGTATTCAGTATAGAAATTCAGAAGATAGAAATAAACATAAAGAAGATTTTTAGAATTATCTGAAATAACAACATTGTGATATGTATTAACCGTTTGTGAATAAATACATGTATGTATATAATAAGTACAGATGTAATTTTTTATTGAAAGATAAATATCCTGTATTGTACTTGGTCTCTTCACAAAAGTGCATGAATCTTTCCAGGAGACTACATATCATTGATAACAGTGCTAATTTAATTATCCTTGAGAAAGGCAGCCTAGTACACCATTGTGTTCCATAGTATTCTGGATGTGCTGTGAGCCAGTCAGTTGCCAATTAGACTTGTAGGTGTGAGATACAGGCTTTAGCGTAATCACACTTGATACTTTTATGGATTTAAAATTGTGGTTTTTTATTTCCCATTGCACCCCAAAAATACAACCATGAATAGACATGATTTAATAAATAAAAGGTTTTTGTAATTTGAAATTTTGTGAACATAGATGGTGGTAATACCAACTCAAAAAATGAGGAAATGGACCTTTACTAGGGGTGGTTATAATAAGTAAACTCGTTTGCCTATTGACTGGTGTGTAACCATTTGTGTCAGACCAATTGCATTAGTTTATGTACCTTTGGTTTTTTGTTGTTAGGTTTTGTTTTGTTTTTGTCTCTTTGATTTTTGATGTTTTTAAAAAAATACATATTTTATTGATTTTTTTTCAGAGAGGAAGGGAGAGGGATAGAGAGTTAGAAACATCGATGAGAGAGAAACATCGATCAGCTGCCTCCTGCACACTCCCTACTGGGGATGTGCCCGCAACCAAGGTACATGCCCTTGACCGGAATTGAACCTGGGACCCTTGAGTCCGCAGGCTGACGCTCTATCCACTGAGCCAAACCGATTAGGGCTGATTTTTGATGTTTTTAATATCTGTAAATGAAGTCTTTGGTGTTTAAAATTTTATCTATGATCTGTTTTAATTCCTAAAAATCTGAGGAACTAGTTTTTATGATTTACAAGAGGATTAACTTGCTCAGCGCCCCCAAGATCTTGTTCTGACTTTGTTGCCTGAGGTCTTCATGTTTCTGTTTTCTGTTATAAATATGATCTTTTGTGGTATGTAAAGAGAGCTTGAGAATGAGTGGTTAATTAACTTTTTAAAATTGCATTTCTCTTTTTTAGTCTTGAATCCAGATAATAGTTTTGAAATATTAGTGGACCAAACTCTTGTCAACAGTGGAAATCTACTAAATGACATGACTCCTCCTGTAAATCCTTCCCGGGAAATTGAGGACCCAGAAGACCGGAAACCTGAGGATTGGGATGAAAGACCAAAAATACCAGATCCTGATGCTGTCAAACCAGATGACTGGTGAGCCTTTGAGTGCAATGGAGTGTTTTGTGTATTCCATGTGGCTTGAACAAATGAATGTTTAGATCTGATAATTCTAATAGTCTATGATGCAATTCAAATGGTAGGAAAAACATAGACAAAAGGGGGCTGAAAGAGGGGTCATACAGGTCATCTGGATTGCCTGTCACCATTTTACAAACCACAAAATGCTGAAATCAATGTGTTTGCCTGTGCTGACATGGTTGCTTTATGGCATAACCTCAGTTCTCTTGGCCTGGCCTTTCACATGCTTCTGTGAGTTCACATTGAAAGCTTGAGTCCTGAGATTTAAATTTTAATTTGAAAAATAATCTTTTTCCTACTTAAATAAAACTCAAGAGATTGTGCTTTGTGTTGGGCAGTGGAATACAAAGCCACAAGGACATGAGCTGTCACACAGCTCCAGTTCAGCTTTTATGTCCCATAAGGGGCTTCTTTGCTGATGCCCTCATTTCCACCCTTTGTATATTTTCTTGTTGATAAAATGTTAAGCAATAATACATATAATAGAAATATATGCATGGTGTTTTCAAATTATCTCTTGATAATTTGAAGTTGGCATGCATATGGTGACTGGTCTAATAGTAGGTGTTACTTGGTGACCAGAGCATCAAGTATAAATCAGGGTGGTTTCTTGGAGCAGTGCCAATCAAATTAAGATTTGAAAGTGGGATGAGAGTTAACTAAGTGGTAAAGATGGAAAATGGTATTAAAGTAGCACATTGTGTGTAGAAGTATAGAAGCAGGAGTGAGCTCAATATGTATGGCCTTTTGTTTAGGGTACAAACTGGAGAGTGATGAGAAATGAAAACTGGCTTTTGGAAATGTCAAAAAGTACGTAAAGAGAAATAATAAAACTGTTCTCCCATTTGTAAAACTATCTCCTTAAGCTTAGCAGTGAAATTTTAGTTGATGTTTTTCCTCCCTTAAATTAAGGTACGGGTTCCTGAACTTTTATGCTGCACTAGTGTACATGCCAAGTTTACTTGTGTATTCGGTGAACATTAGATGACTCAGCCTTGTTGTTCGGTAATATTCCTTAACTAGCTGTTTCATTTTAGAGCAGAGGGTGTGAATGCTCTGCTTATAAGGGTCAGCTGAATGTTGTACAAACTCAGGTTCTCACACAATTTAAAACTAGCATACTTCAAAAATAAGCATATAGCCAAGGATAAATGATGTCTTCACTTACCAACTAGAGTCGCACCATTTTTCATCAACTGTACGAAAGTTGGTACTTCTTTTTTAAAAATATTTTTTATATGGTTTTATTGGTTTCAGAGAGAGGAAGGGAGAGGGCGAGAGAAACAATCAATGATGAGAGAGAATCATTGATTGGCTGCTTCTTGCAATCCCCACCCTCTCACCAGGGATCGAGCCAGAAACCTAGGCAGTGCCCTGACCAGGAATGGAACCTGGGACCCTTCAGTCTGCCAGCTGACTCTCTCTCCACTGAGCCAAATTGGCTAGGGCTGGGTTGTCTTTTTATTATTGAGTTGTAAGAGTTCTTGATATGTTTTGGAGACTAGGCCCTTATGAGATATACTAGAGGCCTGGTGCGTGAAATTCGTGCAGGGGCGGGGGGGGGGGGTCCCTCAGCCCAGCCTGCACCCTCTCCAATCTGGACCCCTTGTGGGATGTCTGACTGCCAGTCGGACATCCCTGTCACAATCCGGGACTGCTGGATCCTAACCACTAGCCTGCCTACCTGCCTGATTGCCCCCTAACCGCTCCCCTGCCAGCCTGATTGATGCCTAACTGCTCCCCTGCTGGCCTGATCACCCCCAACTGCCTTCCTCTTCCGGCCTGGTTGCCCCCAACTGCCCTCCCCTGCCAGCCCAGTTGCCCCCAACTGTCCTCACCTGCCAGCCATCTTGTGGTGACCATCTTGTGACAACGTCGCACGACGCCACCTGGGCTTTTATTATACAGGATGATTTGCATATAATTTTTAGGAAGAATTTTGAGTTTTGAGATTAAGTAACATCTAAATATTTTTAGATTGCCCTGCTTCAGATTCACAAAGGGGACCACATTGTGATTCTCTGGCCATTGTTGTCATAATTGGCTTTTTCTTATTTATTTAAGGGATGAAGATGCCCCTGCTAAAATTCCTGATGAAGAAGCCACAAAGCCTGATGGCTGGTTAGATGATGAGCCTGAATATGTAGCTGATCCAGATGCAGAAAAGCCAGAGGATTGGTAAAAGTTTCAGTTAACTTTTTAATTACCTGCTTTTTAAGAAAATAAATTTTTATTGATTTTAAAGAGGAAGAGAGAGAGAGAAACATCAATGATGAGAGTGAATAATTGATTGGCTGCCTCCTACATCCCCCCTACTGGGGATTGAGCCCGAAACCCAGGTATGTGTTCTGACCACAGAATGGAATCGGTGACCTCTTGATTCATGGGTTGACACTCAAACACTGAGCCACACAAACCGGGCTAATTGCCTGCTTTTTTATTGAAGTAAAAGCTTATACATGAAGCTAGCTGAGTGCCCAAACTTAAGTGTAGAGCTCAACAGATTATTTTATTTTTTTTATTTATTTATTTATTTATTTATTTATTTATTTATTTATTTATTGTTAATCCTCACCAGAGGATTTTTTATTTTTAATGGAACGCTTCACGAATTTGCGTGTCATCCTTGTGCAGGGGTCATGCTAATCTTCTCTGTATCATTCCAATTTTAGTATGTGTGCTACTGAAATGAGCACAGAGGATATTTTTTCCAATGCTTTTCAGAGAGTGGAAGGGAGGGAGGGACAGGGAGAAAGAGAAACATTGATGTGAGAGACACATCGATTGGATTCTCCACAACACAATCCAGGTACATGCCCTTGACCAGGAATTGAACCCACAGCCCTTGGGTGCTGGGGCTGATGCTCTAACCACTGAAAAACACAGGGCAGGGTGATTTAATTATTTTGTGTGTCTCTTTTTAATGCACCTCTCATGAGAAACTAGTTACTAGAAATGCAGAAACAGCATGGTGCTCTATAGGATGACACTGAAAGCATTCCTACAGGATTTCAGGGGTCCCCTGGGATGGCAATTCATAGTCCTACATCACAGAACCCATTTGTAACTGGTTTATTTCTCCACAGGGATGAAGATATGGATGGAGAATGGGAAGCTCCTCAGATTGCCAACCCTAAGTGTGAGTCGGCCCCTGGATGTGGTGTCTGGCAAAGACCTATGATTGATAACCCTAATTATAAGGGCAAATGGAAGCCCCCCATGATTGACAACCCTAATTACCAGGTGTGTATCTCTCCGGTGTTCTGTTTTGTTATTTATTTATTTTTTAGATACATTTTTATTGATTTCAGACTACCAGGTGTGTATCTCTCTCCGGTGTTCTGTTTTGGTTTTTTTTTATTTATTTTTTAGATACATTTTTATTGATTTCAGAGAGGAAGGGAGAGAGAGAGCTAGAAACATCAATGATGAGAGAGAATTATTATTGCTCGGCTGCCTCCTGCACTCCCTCCACTGGGAATCAAGCCTGCAACCTGGACATGTGTCCTTGACTGGAACCGAATCCGGAACCCTTCAGTCTGCAGGCCGACACTATCCACTGAGCCAAACCAGCTAGGGCTGTTTCGTTTTGTTTTAATCCCTACCTGAGACTATGTTTCACTGCTTTTAGGGGGAGTGGCAGGGAGAAGAGAAAAACATTGATTGGTTGCCTCTTGTACTCGCCCCTACCGGGAATTGAATTGGCAAACTTTCACTCCAACCAACTGAGCCACACCATCCAGGGCGAAGTGTGTGCCTTTTAATGTGCTTCATTGATCTGGTTGTGTTCAGATGGAAGTTTTGTCTGTAGTGAGGCTGCTGGGTTGATCACTATTTTCAAGCGATTAAATTACCAAGTAAACTTCATTAATTGAGAGAGAACTTAATATGTTCAATGTTGAAAAGATAAACCTAGAAACTGGAAAGAAGCTTTCATAATTGCTTTGTACTTTTGTTTAAAAACAAAGAAAAGAGAAATGGAAAACTTGCAATTTGAGTACCCTGCTATCATGTGGCAGGGGTGCTGCAGCCGCAGGGTACAGAGTGGCAACCTGTGATTTTTAGAGAGAGTGGAAGGGAGGAAGAGAGACTGAGAGACATCGTTTGGTTGCCTCCCGCATGCACCCTGATCAGGGTTGGGGATCAAGCCTGCAACCGAGGTCCGTGCCCTTGACTGGAATTGAACCTGGGACTCTTCAGTGTGAGAGCTGACAATATCCACTGAGCCAAACCGGCTAGGGCTTAAATGTTTTTTGTTTTTTTAAATATATTTTATTGATTTTAGAGAGGAAGGGAAAGGGAGAGAGAGAGAGAAACATCAATGATGAGAGAGAATCATTGATTGGCTGCCTCCTGCACGTCCCCACTGGGGATCGAGCCCGCAACCCAGGCATGTGCCCTTGGCCGGAATCGAACCCGGGACCCTTCAGTCTGCAGACCAACGCTCTATCCATTGAGCCAAACCAGCTGAAGCTTAAATGTTTTTTTAATCGTGCAGTCAAACAATCAAATTAGTTAAAAGTTGCCCTTTAAAAAAACTGCACTTTGGCTTTTTTTTTCGATGGCCATTTAGATGGATTTCCTTTTTTTTTTAATCCTTGATGCAGTAGTCATCCTTGTGCATGTCTGAGTGTATGTAGCAACTATTTCTCTAGGTAGTTACTAAGAAGTGAAATTGCTGGTTGAAGATCATTTAAATTTCATTTTATTTTATTTGTTTTTTAGATATATTTTTATTGATTTCAGAGAGGAAGGGAGAGAGAGAGAAACATCAGTGATGAAGGGTATCATTGATTAGCTGCCTCCTGCATACCCCCTACTGGGGGTTGAGCCTGCAACCTGGACTTGTGCCCTGACCTGACCAGGAATGGAACCATCACCTCGTGGTTCATAGTTCGACGCTCAACCATTAAGCCATGCCGGCTGGGTAATCATTTACATTTTAAATCACCACTGAAGAAATCTGTACCGATATAGGCTCCCACTCCTGCTAGCAAACTAATGGAGGCTTTTGGAATGTGCCAGGCACAGCGAGGTATTGGTCTAGATGAAGGTCATGGATGTTAGAAATTGAAAGTAGTTGAAGTTCAGACATCTTAGAGGCAGAGTGTAAAACATCAGTAGCATTTATTGTCTTCTTCCTGTTACTCAGTTAAGTTTCACAAATTCAGCACTTAGCTTCATTTATCATGCGAAATTCATCTTAATTTTTATTTAGGTTCATCATAAATTTGTGTTGATCATTATCTGAAATGATATTTAAAAATATTTTTCTCTAGGGAATCTGGAAACCCCAGAAAATACCAAATCCAGATTTCTTTGAAGATCTGGAACCTTTTAAAATGACTCCTTTTAGTGCTATTGGTTTGGAACTGTGGTCCATGACCTCGGACATTTTTTTTGACAACTTTATCATTTGTGGCGATCGAAGAGTAGTTGATGATTGGGCCAGTGATGGATGGGGTCTGAAGAAAGCTGCCGACGGGGCTGCCGAGGTTTGTGCTTGCTTGTTCCTTGGCATTTATATCTGCAATTGCTACTTTTGTAAAAACCTATCATCTACGGTTTATCTTCCCTTATTTGGGAATATTGTTATAAAAAATGGTCGTATGCCTACTAAAGACAAAATACTGGGGTGTTGGACATGATTGCTTTAGTCTCATGCAGTGGCTTTAGAATCTTTGTTATGTGTAAGGTGATTTATTTATTTAAAATATATTTAACAAAATTGCCGTTCAGGGTATATTTTAATGCACTCTTAAATGTTGAATCTTGATTTACCCAATATGTGGAATTTTCAAACAATTGGTCATATGGCTGAGGTATAAATTGGAGAGCCAGAGGCACTAAGATCAAGAAATTATTCATTCACTGGTTCCTGAAATTAAGTCTTTTGCTGATGATTAAAAGCCAGCTTTTAAACCTGTGAAAGGGAAATCACCTTGATGATATGGAGAACAAGAAAATTGAGGATTTTCTCCTATTTCCTTTTTTTGCTATATGAACATCTTGGCTTGAACCTTGGTGGAGCCTGAGTAGTACCATGTAGTCACTGAACAGTGGAACAGTGCTCACGGTATTTGGTGTCAAAAGCTAGAACTTGACATCAGTCATGTCTTGTTTTTCAGCCAGGTGTAGTGGGGCAGATGCTGGAGGCAGCCGAAGAGCGTCCGTGGCTCTGGGTGGTCTATGTTTTGACTGTAGCGCTGCCTGTGTTCCTTGTAATCCTCTTCTGCTGTTCTGGCAAGGTATGAGTATTGGTTTGGTTTGGTTTTGAGACATTTTTAGAAAGAACTCTTATGATATTAAAAAATAAGATATATTGCCTGAGGCTTTCTTTCTAGCAGCTCAGTTGTGACCGGATCGCATTTGGTGTTGACTTCTGAACCCTTATTCACTACTCTTGGTGGCCATGTATTGTACTCAGATGGGAGTAGCATTTGTAGCCCCTTCATTTCTAGTAGTATTTAAACTACTCTCCTTAATATTTGTCAGCAGCTTTCTAGGGCAGGAAGGAAAACAACAAAAAACTTAGATATAAATCTGGCCATTTGGGCATAAACTAGCTTTTCCTCTTGGCAGAGCTGTTTCTATTCATAAACTTTATAATTCTCATTACCAGGTTCCTCCCTTAGCATCCCTAACCCCTTTGACCTCCCTCTACACACAAATACATGTAGGGTAAACAGCCTGTTTGTCTTATTCAACCTTTGTTACATGCAGTCAAAAATAAAATTTTGCTTAGGCTCTACTTCTGCTAGATGAGGATGATGCTTTACCTTGCATTCAAGATATTCTGTAATTTGACCCCCAGAGTGCCTTTTCCAGCTTTGTCCCCACCACTCTTCTGCCACTGTGCCTGGGTCTACCTGACCCCTTTGTTTGTACTGTTCCTTTTCTCTTGAAACCCCACACATTCTCACCCAAGAAGACTCTCAGGGCAGGAAGTATATCTTACTCATTTCCATATATCTATCCTAGTATACAGCCGGGTACAGAACTTTGCTCTTTAGGCATTTAATAATTATATGATAACATACTACATAAAATGTGAACAAAATGGTTGTACTGTGGGAAAATATTTCAGAAACAGTCCAGTCCTGTGGAGTACAAGAAGACTGATGCTCCTCAGCCAGATGTGAAGGAAGAAGAAGAGAAGGAAGAAGAAAGGGACAAGGGAGATGAGGAGGAAGAAGGTGAAGAGAAACTTGGTAAGAAGTAGACCCCAAAATATCTGCTTTCACCCAAGACTCTACGATGTTCAAACCCTTATAAACAAATTACTGTAAAGATTGTTTTAGACAATTAATGCTAATTATCTAATTACCCAAAACAGTTGTAAGGTTTGCTGAGTTGTTTAACTTCTGTTTTAGAAGAGAAGCAAAAAAGTGATGCTGAAGAAGATGGCGACACTGTCAGTCAAGAGGGCGAAGATAGGAAATCTAAAGCAGAGGTAACAGGAAGGGGGAATATGTTTTGTATTTTAAGCACCTAAGTTGAAAGTACATTTAAGTAGAGGGAATATTTTCATAAGGTAATTTTCAATGGTCATGGCTGTAAAAATTCTGTTAAAGCCAATTTTATAAAAGTGAAATTCTTAGAAATACAGGTCAGCATGCTATAACTTCAAATTATATCTGAATCTCAGAAGTATTTTTCTGTGCTGAAAATGGTTTTGGAATAAGCAGAGTTGTAGGAGAAAACTAATAAAATGATTTCTGAGATGGCAACTGTAGGTTATTATTTTAGTCTATCTCTTCATCCACCTCCCCTAATTGTGCCCTTAAAAAATATTTCTTGCACAAATCCCGTGTGTTGTGAAATTTCTGCCTCAGTTGCTCACGGATTCATTTATTTATTCAATAAGTAGTTTTGGAGTGCTCATTATATGCCAGGCATCGTCAGTGAACAAGACAGACAAAGATAACCTACCTTTGGGGAGCTTCATTTCTAGTGGGAGGAAACAGACAATTATCAGTAGACATGATAAGGAAGTACCTGAATGAATGTTAGAAAGTGATGGGCCATGAGAAAGAAAAGTACGATAGGAAAGGCTATCAGAAGTGGTGGGATGCAGTGTTAAAGATGGTAGGCCTCGTTGGAGAGGTGACGTTTGAGTGAAGACTTGACAGATATGGGCAGCCATTGTAGGTTTTGGGACTAAGTAGGTCTGATCACTCTGGCTGCTGTGTTTTCTACAGACCAAGTAGAATCAAGGAGACTGGATAGGAGGCTGCTGTGCGAATCAGGTTAGATACGGTGGTCCTGAGTAGGGTGAAATGATAGGAAAGGAGGATGTGGGCTTCTGGAGCTGGGTTGGATGTGAGGTCTGAGGGAAAGAGAATAAGCCACACCTTTTCTACCAAGGTCCCTTTCCAAGCACTTCTCTATTTCATGATGTTTCTTTCTGGAAAACTCTACCCAGTGTCCATTTCCAGCTCCCACTATTCTGCCCTCCCCTTGATAAAGATCAATGCTGTTTATGTTTTCAGTTTCTTGACTAAAATGTAGAGTTCTTTCAGGTAAGGTTCAGTCTCACTTCCTTTTTTTTTTTAACATATATTTTCATTGATTTTAAAGAGGAAGGGAGAGAGAGATAGAAACATCAATGATGAAAATCATTGATCAGCTGCCTCCTGAATGCCCTACACTGGGGATCGAGCCTGCAACCTGGGCATGTGCCTAGGCGGGAATCGAACCATGACCTTATAGGTGTGGTATGTTCAACCACTGAGCCACACCATCCGGGCTCACATACTTTTTATATTCCCCAAGCTTTCTCACACAGTAAGAGAAGTCCAATAGAATAGGAAGAGTACCAGGCTTATTGTCTTGAGTGTCACATGGGACCTGGCTTGGGTAGTCTTCAGTCCCCATAAAATCCAGTTTTCTCAGTCTCAAAGTGGGGCTAATGTGTCCATAGGCCAGTAAATTATTTAGGATTAATCAAGATGACATGTGAAAGCATGGTGTCTGGTCTTTTTAAAAGAAGATGTTTGTGGGTTAGATTGAGAAAAGTGCATTTTCGTGGAAAGAAAACAAGAAAGACTATATTAAAACACAGTCCCACCACCTCTAAGACAGTTGGTTTTTGGTACATTTTCTTCAAATCATTTTTTTCCCTTAGATGGGTTACCCTCAGTTTGGTAGATCTTGAAAATTTGGCGAATTTTTACTTTTCATAATATGCTAATTATAATGAATTTCTTGTTTTTTTTTCCCCAACCAATAGGAGGATGACATTTTGAACAAATCACCAAGAAACAGAAAGCTAAGAAGAGAGTAAAATTATCTTAAGAACTTGATATGTGATTTCCTCTCCCTCCCCTTCCTCTGCAAGTGTGGTCCTAGGAGAGAACCTGGCACATCTTAGGTTGAGACTCAGAAAACCTCCAGCTGTCACCTTCAACAAGTTTCAGTCAAACACTAGCCCGTGTAATTTAAACATCTAGCAGTAAATGCAGTTGTGACAAAAAGGACCCTGTTTCTGTAGAAAGAAAGCATTTAACAATGGTTGTGAATTGTAACATGAAGCAACTAATTTGTATTTTTTTTGTTTTGTTTTTAAACATCTTTGTTTTTTTTAATAGAGTAATAGAATTTTGCCAGTCTTTAAAATCTTGGCTTAATTTAATATATTGATGTGTCCATGCAGAAATAACACCAACTTTTAGAAATTCTAGGGGGATGAACTGCAGTTTTTAGAACCAATTTTGTTTGAGTTTGGTATTACAAAGCATTCAAGTGTCTCTGTCCCTTAAAATTGATAATCATGTTTAAAGTGCAGTTATTTGTCATTATAATCTTGTATTGCTTACTTCCATTCCTCCTAAGGAAATTGAGGAGAGGGATTGAATGGAAGCCCAAATTTATACAAAGGTTCTGTTTAAATTGTATTAAAAATGGACATAAAAAAAGAAAAAAGACTTTTCACTCGATGTTGGTTAGACCATAAAGTGTGTGTGTGTTCTGTTATGCTTGGAACAGCTCAGTTCACAGACAGGTTTAAGTTAGTGGAGGAGGTGGTATAATGTCGCATTTGGGCCTTTATACTCTGCACACCTGGTGTGTCTGGGCTGCAGTCTTCTTGAACAGGTGGCTTTTTTAAAGACTGCTACCAGGACATGTGCGCTCCAGAGAGAATCTGGTGTTTTCATCCCATCTTCCATTCTGTGGACACTGTTTCCCTCCCTGTTTCCCAGAGTCCTAGCTTTCTCCTCTGCTTGCCTTTTCTTCACAGCGCCTTGCTGTCCGTTGCTGAAAATGATGATGAGCTCTGCATAGTGTTAAGCTTTATTGTGATTGTGTATGTTTCTTCCTTTTTTAAGCAGACCCGCACCTTTCCAGGGTCAAGTACAGGATAGAATGCTATCTTTTATTTTTTTTAATCCATTTCTCTTACTCTGTGTAAAGACTAGAAGTCTATCCAGATGTGAGCCAATTCAGAATTGACTGTAATTGAACACAGGCTAAAAAGTACTGATGGGAGGAGTGACATAGAGCATGAGTTATCCAATTTTTGTAGCTGCTAAACCTTTTAAGTTATCATTTGCAGTTCATGTAACAGTTGTGTCTTAAATTACATGATAAAGCAGTCCTGTTAAAAATAATTATTTTTTTTTTTTAGTATGTGGATTGTAGAATATTTTAATAAGTGATGTTAGGTTTGTTTTTTCATATGGAATGCAGATGGGTGCTATCAGAGCCTCTCCCCCATCACAGTGTAATAACCTCACTATTACACCACACTGAAGTATATTCAAAATTAGATGTTCTTTTAGCTTTATTCTTTCTTCAGAGCTGTTTCAAATATACCGATGATACTGTTCCTTGCACTGAATATATAAACACTCCAGAGTGTTTATATTGGGGAGATTTTGGGGAGGAAGTATATTTGTAAAAGATGAAGGCTGTATCTGTTTATTTTGTTTATCTCAATTTTTTACCAGTTCACTTAAATTCTTATGAGGGTGGGATGCATTTTTCTTGCTGTTCAGTGCTTTATTCTTTTCATCTGGTGTTCTGTGGTCACAGTGACCTTAGCTATGTAGCACACTTTCCCAAATGTATTGAGCGCGAATAAACAGTTACTTGGCAAGACCTGAAAATATGTCTACAGATTTCTCCTTTGAAGCAAATGTGTGGGGTCATGGCATTTTCCAGAAATCTGCCTTCACTCTCCGTTAATATTTCATGCCTCACAGTTTCTTCTGGCTGAGCTGTGGAATGACAAGTGTAAATCAGTAGAGTGTTCATTTGCCTTTCCAGGGTTATTTAGCAGTTTGTTCAAAACAAGTCATTTCTTGGTTCTCCTTTTCACTCTCTTGAAGTTGCAACCTCCTGATGAAATGTCTGACACAGTTCTTAGCTCTTTGAAAGGCTCTTGCATTGTGATTGCACATGCTGGCTACCCGTCCCGTTGCTGTGAGATGCCCACTCCATCAGATGTGTTCCCCAGTTTCTCTTGTTCACAAAATACTTCCCACTTTTCTCAAATTGTCACATTACTCAATGGTATTAAAGCCCTGTGTTAAGCATCTGCTTTTGACTGAACTTTATAGTAACCTTTAATTCACGTGTTTTGCTGTTTCAAAGTGGGTTAATTGTCCTTTAATTGGCCACTGTTTGCTATTATGCAGAAACTACTATGAACAGTGGGATATATAGTCTCGTCCCTTGGTATTCACGGGGATTGGTTCCAGGACTTACCCATGAATACCAAAGTTTGAGGATGCTCAATTCTCTTACGTAAAATGGTATACGTAGTATTTGCATATAACCTACACACATCTTCCCTATACTTTATCTCTAGATTACTTAGACCTAATACAATGTAAATGCTACTTAAATAGTTGTTAAACTATATTGTTTAGGAAATAATGACAAGAAAAAAGTCTGTACATGTTCAGTACAGATGCAACCTGCAGCCATCAGAGGCCTATTTACATAGCACACATCAGCAACAATGAAACTTTTTTCTAGATGTTTTCCATCCTTGGTGGTTGGTTGAATTTGAGGATGGGAACCCTCTGAAACTGAAGGCCAACTGTATTTTGTCACCATGAGGTGACAGTCAACTCAATGGAGATTCTGCCTCTGCTGCTGGATTAGAATAACAGCTCAGAAATGGAGGAGTAATTTATAGATAGTCTTTTAAGATTTATGGGAACGAATGAGTTTTTGAATTTTTATTAGAAAATAAATTTTTGTTCATGTTTACATTATTTCAGGGAGGTTTTTGAAAATTAGGTCAATTTTTTTTAAACGTGCTATTTAGCTTTTGGACTGCTTACTAAAGAGAAATAGACATAGTGCTTCTATTATTTTTCCTATTAGAAACTAAATATTTATTCCTGGTGTAAAATTTATATGTTTAAAGACTGGTGAAAAACAGGACCGACCACATTATGGTTGGTATTCATGAGCACCTTTGCCTTGGCGGGCCACTTGTATCTTTTTACTGCATTTGTATAAAAACAAATACTATCTGAATAAGGATTCATTTTTTCTTATTTTAAAATAAAATATTTTTGTGGGTCCTAGTGAAAAGTTACTATAACAGCTGTTTTGAGCTGTTGATGGTGCCTCTCAACCTGCAGGTTCCTGGCACCTTCTATTTAACTTGTTAGCAATTAAGGTTCCTGGTGCCTCTTGGCCCAACACAAGACTATCTAGTTTCACTGCCGCCTCGCTGGTCCCGGAGTTTTTCCTCGTCTCCCTGTCCCTTTGCCTGCGGGTTGTAACACTAGAGCATAATCGCCTTTGGTTGAATATTGAGTGACTCGATTTTACCTAACAGACCATCTTTTTAAATGTAATCCGGTTTTGACTGTAATGCCATCCTTTGCGGTTCTAGTCCCCGCTACGAGACTCTCCCTACACCTCTTCCTTATGCGAGCCGGGCTTTTTCTGGGTAAGTAGTAACAACCTGAAACTTACTCAAATTTTGATATAAAAGTGGAAATTGACGGTCCCAGTGATGCAGAATGGCGTGAGAGGAAACCTTTTCCAGCTCCCTCGTGACATTTCGACCAATTAAAAGGCTGGATGTAAGCAATGGGGTTGAAGAAAACAGCTGACACTGGAAAGGCGTGGCTACTTCTGAGTTTATCAGAGCGGCTTGGGAAAGGCTGCCGGGGAACGCGGAGA